CATCTTTAGGAACTAGAAAAACAACAACAAATCAAACCTAAAATTAGCAGTAGGAAAGAAATAATTAAAATTAGAGAAGAAATAAAACAAAATTGAAACAATAGCAGCAAAAAAATACAAAAGATCAGTGAAATAAAGAGCTGGTTTTTGGAAAAAATAAACAAAATTGGTGTATCATTGGCCCAAATAATCAAAAAAAAGGAGAAGACTGAAATAAATAAAATCAGAGATGAAAAAGTAAATATAGGGGTTGGCACCATGGTACAGTAGGTTAATCCTCTGCCTGCAGCGCTGGCATCCCATACGGGCACTGGTTCTAGTCCCGGTTGCTCCTCTTCCAATCCAGCTCTCTGCTGTGGCCTGGGAAAGCAGTGGAAGATGGCCCAAGTGCTTGGGCCCCTGCATTCACGTGGGAGATGAGGAAGAAGCTTCTGGCTCCTGGCTTTGGATCAGCACAGCTCCAGCCACTGCAGCCATTTGGGGAGTGAACCAATGGAAGGAAGAACTTTGTCTCTTCCTCTCATTGTCTGTAACTCTACCTCTCAAATATATAAATAAAAAAGTAAATATTACAACACACCACAGAAATAAAAAGAATCATCAGGAAATACTACAAAGAGCTGTATGGCAACAAACTGGGAAACCTAAGAGAAATGGATAGATTCCTAGAAACATACAACCAACCTAAATTGACACTTGAAGACACAGAAAACCTAAACAGTGGCCGGCGCCGTGGCTCAATAGGCTAATCCTCCGCCTTGCGGCACTGGCACACAGGGTTCTAGTCCTGGTCGGGGCGCTGGATTCTGTCCCGGTTGCCCCTCTTCCAGGCCAGCCCTCTGCTGTGGCCAGGGAGTGCAGTGGAGGATGGCCCAAATCCTTGGGCCCTGCACCTGCTTGGGAGACCAGGAAAAGCACCTGGCTTCTGGCTTCGGATCAGCGCGATGTGCCAGCCGCAGCGCGCCAGCTGCGGCAGCCATTGGAGGGTGAACCAACGGCAAAAAGGAAGACTTTTCTCTCTCTCTCTCTCTCACTGTCCACTCTGCCTGTCAAAAATAAAAATAAAAAATAAAAAAAGAAAACCTAAACAGACTAATAACCAAAATGGAAACTGAATCAGCAATAAAGACCTTCCCAAAAAAGAAAAGCCCAGGACCGATCACTTTGCTGCTGAATTATACCAGATATTTAAAGAACTAATTACAATTCTTCTCAAGCTATCCAAAACAATTGAAAGGGCAGGAATACTCCCAAAGTTCTTTCATAAAGCCTGTATCACCTTATTTCCTAAGCCAGAAAAAGATACGACAGAGAAAGAGAACTACAGACCAATACTCCTGATGAACACGGATGCAAGAATTCTGAACAAAATATCAGCTAATCGAATCCAACAACACATCAGAAAGATCATTCACCTGGACCAAGTGGGATTTATTCCTGGTATGCAGGGATGGTTCAACATCCACAAATCAGTAAATGTGATTCACCACATTAACAAACTGAAGAATAAAAACCATATGGTTATCTCAGTAGATGCAGGGAAAGAATTTGATAAAATACAACATCCTTCCATGATGAAAACCTTAAGCAAATTGGGTATAGAAGGAACATTCCTCAACATGATCAAGGCAATTTATGATACACCCATGGCTAGCATCCTATTGCATAGGGAAAGGTGGAAGCATTCCCCGTGAGATCCAGAATGAGACAAGGATGCCACTCACTACTGCTAGTTAACATAGTCCTGGGAGTTTTAGCCAGAGCCATTAAGCAAGAACAAGAAATCAAAGCAACACAAATTGGAACAGAACAAACCAAACTTCCCCTATTTGCAGATGATAATGTCCTATATATAGGGGATCCAAAAAAAAAAAAAAACTCCACTGAGAGACTATTTGAACTCATAAATACAAGTTTGGAAACTGGCTGGATATTAAATCAACACAGAAAGATCAATATCCTTTATATATACAATGTCATGGCTGAGAAAGAACTTTTAAGATCAATTCCATTCATAACAGCTGCAAAAATAATTAAATACCTTGGAATCAAAGATCTCTATGATAAAAATTACAAAACAATAAGGAAATAAATAGAAGAGGGCATTAAAGAATGGAAAAATCTTCCATGTTCATGGACTGGAAGAATCAACATTATCAAAATGTCCATACTACCAAAAGCAACTCACAGATTCAATATAATCCTAATCAAAACAACAATGATGTTCCTTGCAGATCTAGAAAACATGATGCTAAAATTCATGTGGAAACAAAAGAAACCCTGAATAGCTATAGCAATCTTATGCAATAAAAATAAAGCCAGAGGCATCACAATACCTGATTTCAAGACACACTAAAGGGCAGTTATAATCAAAACAGTATGGTACTGGCACAAAAACAGACTTGTAGCCTAATGGAACAGAATAGGAATTCCGAAATCAATCTATTGCATCTACAACCAACTTTTCTTTGATAAAGGAGCTAAAATCAATCTCTGGAGCAAAGACAGTCTCTTTAACAAATGGTGCTGTGGAAACTGAATCTCCACATGCAGAATTTTGAAACTAGAACCATTCCTAACACTTCACACAAAAATCCACTAAATCTATGACTTGATACTATCAAATTACTAGAAAACATTGCGGAGACTCTGCAGCACATTGGCATAGGCAAAGATTTCTTGGAAAAGACCCCAGAAGCACAGACAATCAAAGCCAAAATTGACAAATGCGGAAGGGGATTACGATGGTGGAGTAGGGAGGGTGCTTGCTATTCAAGTCTAGGAGAAAATAGTTTAAAAGTGGAGATGGTGCAGTCTCAGGGAAGAGTTAGGGAGAAAACAGCAGAGGAAAATTAGAGGGACAAATTAGAGAGACACTGTGGACCTACGTGGAGGGTGTGGACGCCCACATCTCAGGACCCCAACAGCCGAGAGCCCCTGCACCAGTGTTGGCAAGTGAGGTGAGACCAGACTGCAGCAGGCCAAGCCACTTGTGAAAAAGCTGCAGGAAGAGCCTAGAGGGAATCTGGCTTGGAGACCCGTGGGGGACAGTGAACCTGCCAAACTAGAGGAGAGAAAACAAAGAGGGGGCAGGTCTCTCTCTCCCTGCTTACCCGGCAACTGAGTCCTGTAACAAGCTGACAGCACCATTTTGGACATACATAACAGTCCTGCCAACTCGTGCCCACGCCCAGCAACCAGCAGAGTGGAGACTCCTGAGTCTGGTGTGGAGAACAGGCAGGGGGCTGGGTGCTCCTGGCTGCGGGAGGCATGTGTGCCGGGACTGTGAAAACACTGAGGCTGCGTGGGAGAACTCGGGGTGTGGCTGGGACTGTGGGCAGTCACTGTGGGAGGCTCCGCACACGCAGGGCCCCCTGGTTCCCTGGCGAGGGACACTGCTGGGGAATCTGAGCTCCCACTGAGGACGGCACAGATCCTGTGGGTGGTCCTTGTGGCAGAGCAGACGAATAATACACCCACTGGGCCAGCGCCCGGCACTGGTCTCCTTTGAGGAGAGGAGCTCAGCTGAGTCCACACCAACAGACAAGAACAAACCCCACTCTGATAAATAAAAAAAGAGGAGATTTACCATGCCAAACCTGGGGGCGTCACCTCAGACACGTGCTTCACCCTGGAGCACTGAACAGAGCTCCTTGGCCACGTCTACACGTGTGTCTAGGTTCTCCCTGAAAGCAGACATTCCACTAATCCATACACAGTCCAGAGATAAAAGCTGTCAGAGTAGGCCAGCGCCGTGGCTCACTAGGCCAATCCTCCACCTGCGGTGCTGGCACACCAGGTTCTAGTCCCAGTTGGGGTGCCGGATTCTGTCCCGGTTGTTCCTCTTCCAGTCCAGGTCTCTGCTGTGGCCCGGGAGGGCAGTGGAGGATGGCTCAAGCGCTTGGGCCCTGCACCTGCATGGGAGACCAGGAGGAAGCACCTGACTCCTGGCTTCAGATCGGTGCAGCGCACCGGCCGTAGCAGCCATTTCGGGGGTGAACCAAAGAAAGGAAGACCTTTCTCTCTGTCTCTCTCTCTCACTGTCTAATTCTGCCTGTCAAAAACAAACAAACAAAAAAGCTGCCACAGTAAAAAACAAAGAATAAACTAACAAGTATCTCCACAAATCCTGAATAACAAATGCACCAGTTCAAGAAACAAGAATAAGGAAGACAACATGAGGCCCCCCAAAGAATACAACACTTCAGTCCTAGATTGTAAAGATGATGAGACTGAAGAAACGCCAGAAATGGAATTCAAAAGTTGATCATAGGGTTACTAGAAGTAATCAGAAGCAAATGCATGAACTAATAAAATTGATACATGACATGAAAGAAAACTTCTCCCATGAAATTGAGATCTTAAAGAGAAATTAAAATGAAATCTTGGAAATGAAGAATTCAATAGAACAAATAAAAAATGCAGTGGAAAGCCTTAACAACAGAATCAGTGAAGCAGAAGAAAGAATATCCGACTTAGAAGACGAAGCACAGGAAATTATACAGTCAGAGCAAACACAACAAGAAGAAATTAGAAAACTAAGACATGGGATTATATCAAGTTGAGGAGCTTCTTTCTGTACTGCAAAATAAACAGGAGAGTGAAGAGACGATCGGCAGGAGAAAATTTTTGCAAACTACACAACTGATAAAGGGTTAGCATCCAGAATCTATAAAGAACTCAAGAAATTCAACAACAAAACAAACAATCCAGTTAAGAAATGGGAAAGACTTGAACAAGCATTTTTCAAGAGAGGAAATTAAAATGTCCAACAGACAATCGAGAAAGTGCTCAGGATCACTAGCCATCAGGGAAACACAATTCAAAACCACAATGAGGTTTCCCCTCACTCCAGTTAGAAAGGCTCTCACATAGAAATCAGCAAACAAACGCTGAGGAGGATGTGGGGAAAAGGTACCCTGGGTCGACTGTTGGTGGGAATGTAAACTGGTGCAGCCACTGTAGAGACAGTATGGAGATAACTTAGAAATCTGAATATAGACCTACCATACAACCCAGCCATCCTACTCCTGGGAATTTACCCAAACCAAAAGAAATCAGCACATGAAAGAGTTATCTGTACCCCCATGTTCACTGTAGCACAATTTATAATAGCAAAGATACGGAATCAACCCAGATGCTCATCAACTTTTGAATGGACAAAGAAATTATGGTATGTATACACTATGGAGTACTACCCAGCTGTAAAAAAATAATGAATTCTGTCTTGAACAAAACGGATGCAACTGGAAACCATTATACTCAGAGAAATAAACCAGTTCCAGAAAGACAGACATCATGTCTTCCCTGATGCAAAGTAACTAATAGTGTACTTGAAACATGATGTATTGGAAGGAAATGGACACTTTGAGGTTTGATGATGGTTTACAGCTCTTACCTCTTCTGTTGAGGAACAATATTTTTCCTTTTCTTTTTTTCTTCATACTATTTGTTGAAATACTTAGTGTAGGGTTAACTATAGGATCATTACGTAAACAGAAAACAGATCTTTGTAAAAATTAAGAGTGGGAATGTGAGAGGCAAGAGGAGAAAGGGTTGGAGTGTGGGCAGGAGGGATGGAAGGGGGGTGACACGTCACTATGTTCCTAAATCTGTATACATGAAATACATGAAATTTGTATAACAAAATCGAAAAAATAAACTTAAGAAAACTTATTGGAAACTTAAGATGTGTTGAATTCTTGTTAATTAGCCAGATGTGTGGTTCTTTTGGGGAGGGGGTGTCAGAACATCAGCTCCATGAGAGGACCCTGTCCTCACCCTCGTAGCTGGGAGCAGAGGAGAGTCCCTGCTGCAGAGGCAGGAGAGAATGCTGACCGCTGACCTTAAAGCAGGGAGGCCCTGCAGGGTAAGGCAGGTGGCCAGTGTAGCAGCGTTTCAGAGGCAGGGAGGCCCTGCCAGGTGAGGCAGGTGGCCAGTGTAGCAGCGTCTCAGAGGCAGGGAGGCCCTGCTGGGTGAGGCAGGTGCCGGGTGTAGCAGCGTCTCAGAGGCAGGGAGGCCCTGCTGGGTGAGGCAGGTGCCGGGTGTAGCAGCATCTCAGAGGCAGGGAGGCCCTGCAGGGTAAGGCAGGTGCCGGGTGTAGCAGCGTCTCAGAGGCAGGGTGGCCCTGCTGGGTGAGGCAGGTGCCGGGTGTAGCAGCGTCTCAGAGGCAGGGAGGCCCTGCCGGGTAACGCAGGTGCCGGGTGTAGCAGCGTCTCAGGCAGGGAGGTGAAGGAAGCCCAAGCTGGCTGTCGCTGGCTCTGAGGACAGGAGGTGAGTGGGAGCCTGGCAGCTTCCACTGCAGGGGCAGGAAACCGGCTCACCTCACAGCCTCCACCCTGACCTACAGGGAGCTGCTGATGGGACAAAGTCCTGGTGGGTCCCCAGCCCCCCATCCTGGAGTGTGGTGGCTCAGGCTGAGGGCAGCAGAGACCCAGGGGGCTCCAGGCTGGGGGTGGCTGGGTCCTGAATGGTGACCATGGAGGGCAAGGACACCCTGGAAGAGGAGGGTGGGGCTGTGGCAGCCACACTGACCTAATGAAGCCTTCAGCCCCTGTGTGGAGTCCGCCTCCCCTGGCAGAGGCCCCTTGAGCCCTCACAGCGTCTGCTTCTATTTCTCCTGCCACCCCCCCCCCCCATCCCAGGCCTACCAGGGAATCCCGAAGCACCTGTCCTGGGAGATTCTGAGAAGGGGCTGGCCCTGCACCTGTCCTGGGAGATTCTGAGAAGGGGCTGGCCCTGCACCTGTCCTGGGAGATTCTGAGAAGGGGCTGGCCCTGCACCTGTCCTGGGAGATTCTGAGAAGGGGCTGGCCCTGCACCTGTCCTGGGAGATTCTGAGAAGGGGCTGGCCCTGCACTTTCCCCACAGCCTTTGTCTCCTCAGACATCCCCTGCAGCGTCAGCTCCAGGCTTCCGGCTCAGACTCCTTGAGCCCGAGCATGAGCAGCAGAAGGGGCTTGTGGAGGTGGGACCTCAGCCACGGGACCTGCTCCTGCCCCTCCCTGGGCTCCGTTCTCGGCGACTTGGCTGTGTGGACTCTGGATCCAAACTTCACTCCCTGCTCACGGCTCTGTAACCCTGAGGGATCTGCTTTGCTTCTCTGAGCGTCAGTTTCCCTGTTTCCCGTCTGGCTGAGATGATAAAACTAGCAGGCCCTGACATGACAGTAACAAGTGTGGCCGTTTCCGGTAGCACCCACTGCATTCTTCAAGAGCCACAGACCTCCAGGTGGCCTCCTGGGACAGTTCCCAAACGTCTCAGGCCCTGCCTGCTTCTTGTCTGTCTGTCTCTGGCAGTTTTATTGAGCAACAGTTGACACACAACACATTGCATGTTAAAGTGGGTGATTCCATCTGTCTGGACAGGCATGCACACTCCAGGACCACCGTTAACTCCACTCCAGAAAGCCCCCTGCTCATCCTCCCAGCAGCTCCCTCCCTGATGATTCCCCTCCCCACCTTCCTGGCAATGGCTGATTTATTTTCTGTAACTATGAACTAGTTGTATTTTGTAGTATTTTTAGGAAAGATTTATTTACTAATGTGAAAGGCAGAGAGAGAGAGAGAGAAAGAGAGAGAGAGGGAGAGAGAGAGAGAGAATGAATCAATTTTCTTTCCACTTGTTCACTTCCCCAAATGGCTGCAACAGCCAAGGCTGGGCCAAGCCCAAGCCAAGAGCCCAGGACTGCATCCAAGTCTCCCACATGCGTAGCAGGGGCCCAAGCACTTGGGCCATCACCTGCTTCTTTCCCAGGTGCATTAGCATGGAGCTGGATCAGACACAGAGCAGCCAGGACTTGAACTGGCAGATTGATATAGGATAAGGGTGTTCGAGTGGTGGCTTAACCTGCTGCACCACAACGCTTGCCTTTATTTTGTAGTATTTTACATAAGTAGAATCCTACAGTGTGTGTTCTTTTGGGGTCTAGCCTATCTCACGTGGCCTTGTTGTTTTGAGAGCCATCATGCAGGGATGAATGGTTTATTCCTTTTCATCGCTGAGAACTGCTGCGTTGCAAGGCTCCATCGCAATTTGTTTGCCCATTTATCTGTTGTTGGACATTTGGGCTGCTTCTGGTTTGTGGCTGGTTTGAATAAAGCTGTGATGAACATTCATTTACAAGTCTTTTTTGGAATGTACACTCATTTCTTTTGGACAAACACATAGGATTGCAATGGAGAGGCCGATGGTGAGCTTAATATTCTAACAAACTGCCTGGGTGTTTTCCAAAGTGGTTGCAAGGTTTTGATTCCTCCAGCAGTGAATGGACTTGCAATTGCTTCCCCTTGTCACTAGTGCTTGGTGTGATCAGCTTAATTGTAGGACATTCCAATGGGACATAGGAGCTTTAATTTGCGTTCCCCTGGTGATTACTGGTGTCTAGTATGTTTTCTTGTGTCATCCATCTTCTTTTGTGAAATATCCCTTCAAAAGCTTTTGCCTATTTTAAAATTGGTTGTATGTTTGTTTATTACTGAGTTTTCAGAGTTCGTTCTTTCTTTCTTTCTTTTTTTTTTTTTTTTTTGACAGAGTACACAGTGAAGAGAGAGAGAGAGAGACAGGGAGAAAGGTCTTCTTTTACTGTTGGTTCACCCTCCAACGGCCGGCGTACCGCGCTGATCCAAAGGCAGGAGCCAGGTGCTTCTCCTGGTCTCCCAAGCGGGTGCAGGGCCCAAGCACTTGGGCCATCCTCCACTGCACTCCCGGGCCACAGCAGAGAGCTGGACAGGAAGAGGAGCAACCGGGACAGAATCCGGCGCCCAAACCGGGACTAGAACCCGGTGTGCTGGTGCCGCAGGCAGAGGATTAGCCTAGTGAGCCACGGCGCCAGCTTTCAGAGTTATTTCTAAATTGTGGATTTAAGTCCTCATTAGATATGTTTCTTTGACAATGTCATCCGTGAGTCTGTGGCCTATCTTTCAAAGAACAGAAGCTCTTAATTTTGATGATTTTCAATTTATTGATTTTGCCTTTTTATAGATTTTTAAAGATTTATTTATTTTGCTTGAAAGTCACCGTTACACAGAGAGAGGAGAGGCAGAGAGAGAGAAAGACAGAGAGGTCTTCCATCTGCTGGTTCATTCCCCAGAGGGCCACAGTGGTCGGAGCTGCGCCGATCCAAATCCAGGAGCCAGGAGTTTTTTCCAGGTCTCCCATGTGGGTGCAGGGGCCCAAGGACTTGAGCCATCTTCTACTGCTTTCCCAGGCCATAGCAGAGAACTGGGTTGGAAGTGGAGTGCCTGGTCTTGAACCAGTGCCCATGTGGGATGCTGGCACCACAGGCAGAGGCTTTACCCACTACATCGCAGCGCCGGCCACTTTTTATAGATTTTAACTTTTGTGTTGAATTCAAGAAAGGTTTTCTCCTGAATTTTACTCTAGAAGTTTTATAGTTTAAAGTTCACATTTAGTTTTATGATCCAACTTGAGTTCATCTCATAGATGGTATGAGATAAGGGTTGAAGATTTGTGGGTTATTTTTTAGCATATGGATTTTCTTTTATAAAGATATTTCACCATTTCAGTTGATATTATTCATAGGACTTTGTTGATATTATTTGTTGATTTTATAAGAAATGGATATTGGATTTTGCCAAATGCCTTTTCTGCATTTTTAGAGGTAACCATAATTTATTCAATGATTTTTAATGTTCAACTAGGATGACATGACTGTAATAAACCCAAGTACATTGCGATATACTATTGTCTGAGTCTGTTTAAGCCACTATTAAAAATACCATAAAGCTGTTTAGGGTCTCTTGTGATTCCATATAAATTTCAGGGTAATTTTTTCTATATCTGAGAAGATTATCTTTGGTATTTTGACTTGGATTGCGTTGAATCTGTAAATTGCTTTGGACAGAATGGGCATTTTGATGATATTAATTCTTCCAACCCATGAATATGGAAGATTTTTGCATTTTTTGGTGTCTTCTTCTATTTCTTTCCTTAATGTTTTGCGATTTTCATTGTAGAGGTCTCTTACATCCTCAGTTAAATTTATCTCAAGGTATTTACATTTTTTGTAGCTATCATGAATGGGACTAATCTGGAGGCATCAAAATATCTGTTTCAAGACATATTACAGGGCAATTATAATAAAAACAGCTTGGTACTGACACAGAAAGACATGTTGACCAATGGAACAGACTAGAGACGCCAGAAATTAATCCACGCATCCACAACCAAGTAATCTTTGACAAATGAGCTAAAATCACTTCCTGGAGAAAAGACAGTCTCTCAACAAGTGGCAATGGGAAGATTAGATCTCTGCATGCATAAGTATGAAACAGACCCCTACCTCACACCCTGTATAAAAATCAGCTCAAAATGGATCAGGCATTAAAGACCTGAAACCATCAAAACATAGAGGAAACACTGGCACAGGCAAAGACTTCTTGGATGATGCCAGAAGTACTGACAATAAAGGCAAAAAAGACAAATGAGATTATATCAACCTCAGAAGCTTCTGCACCACGAAGGAAACCTTCAACAAAGTACAGAGGCAACTGACAGAATGAGAGAAAACATTTGCAAATTATACACCTGATGAAGGATCAACATCCAGCATATACAAGGAACTCAAGAAACTCATCAACAATAAGACAACCAATACAGTTAAGAAATGGGCTAAGGATATGTACAGGCATTTTTCAAAGGATAAAATACAAATGGCCAACACATATATATGATGCTCAGGATCACTAGCTATCAGGGAAATGCAAATCAAAATTGCAATGAGGTTTCACATCACCCCCGTTAGAATGGCTATCATCCAAAAATAAAAACATCAACAACAACAAAAAAATGCTGGCGAGGATGTAGGGAAAAAGGCACCCGAATACATTCTTGGTGGGAACGTAAATAGTGCAACCATTATTGAAGACAGTGTGGAGATTCCTCAGAAATCTGAAAATAGACCTCCTGGGAATTTATCCAAAGGAAGTGAAAGCAGCATCTGAAACAGTTATCTGTCCCCCCAAGTTTACAGCAGCTCAACTCACAATAGCTAAAATCAACCCAGATGTCCATCAACTATGACTGGAAAAGAAATCCTGGTATATATACATGAAGGAATACCAGTCAGCTGTAAAAAAGAATGAAATCCTGTCTTCCACAACAAAATGGATGCAATCATTATGCTTAGTAAAATAAGTCAGTCTCCTGGGAAAGCAGTGGAAGATGGCCCAAGTGCTTGGGAC